AATGGAGAGAAAATGTTTTGAGAAACGATGTACAAATGCGCTTTACACAATTGATGTGTGTATGGATTGGGATAACAGTTGTATGAGTCCCTAATAAAATGTTAAAAAATAAAAAATAAAAATAAATAAATGACTTGGTAGTCAAGGAGTATTGATCCAAAGTCAGGCTCAATTGTCAGCTAATTTAATTTTCTCATTTTGTGTACTAGAAATAGAGTAGCCAGACTAGAAAATTGCCACTAGATAATAGTCCCCAGCTTTGAAAATTAAACACACAGGCATTATGAATTTAGAATCCCCAGGAAACCATGATCCTGTCCAAATCTTTTCCCTCTGAAACCGTTTCAGTGAGGACGCACTGTCACAGAACTGTAAGGAGAATGAAATCATGGTTTTGATCAGGCAAAAGCACCATGACAGAGCACTTCTCAATGTACTAGCTTCTAGGTGAGCCAGGCCAAAGAGTGGACATGTCGTCTGCAGTGACACACCTCGGTCTCCATCTGTAGAAAGCACTTTAATTACATGTTGAACAATAGCATTCACTCATGCCCAGTGTGCGCAGAACAGCTTATGGGCTCTTATAACTAACTTTGTTTCCCTAATTCAGTATCATACTCTCTTGGCTGCTCAGACAACGCATGCATGGTTATGACAAGGAACTAGAACTTTTCTTTATCTCAAGTAAGAGCGGGAACTGCACAGGCCTGCCTTGTTGTTCTGGGTCTCACTCATTGCTCTTTAGAAATCTCTAAGCCCAAACATTTTGGTGTGATTTTTTCTACTGTGAGTTTACCCAAATTGTTTTTATACATAAAAAGAGAAAGGCAACTCTCTTATAAAGCAATTTACTTTTGCCACCATATTATATTTTTATTCTAAATGTTTGAATTAATAATTTTGAAATATAGCACACAAAAGGAATTAAACGGGTAGGTATGACCTTATGAATTATTTTAAGCTCAACACCTGTGAACCCACCACCCAGGTCCCAAACCCAACAGGGCACTGCCCACAATCGAGGAGCCCCTGCTTGCCTCTTTTCTCATCTATGCAAATAATCAGATACGAATATTGTCATTTATTTTTGTTGCTTTTTTGAATTTTAAATAAATGGAATCACATAATACATACTCGTTTGTGCCTGATTTTCTTGGTAAATTTTTAATCATCTATTTAAACAGTGCATTTGGAAGTAGGTAGTTCAAAAATTTATAATGTCAGAATTCCTGTCAGCTTCTCAGCAAAATTTTTGACAAGTTGCTTCAAAAAAGTCACAGCCTGAATGAAACCCCCTTACTCTGCACACAAAGGGTGACCGTCAGTCAGAGTTCAACTCGATGGCAACTAACAACGATACTTCTACCTGCTGGAAAGCATACTGGACAAACGACTTAACCTTTCTCTCTATGTATCTCAAGTGATTCATCCGTGAAATGACTCAGCGTGGTTGGGAAGTTATATGCGCTAATATGTACAAGGTGCTCAGAATAGAATCTGGCATACAGTAAGCACTCAACAAACATTAAAAAAAACTTTTAAGTATTTCAGTTTCAAATTTGAAATAAAAAAATGTTAACTTGCCAATTCTGATAATGGCAAGGGCATCAAATATTAATCTATCATGTAGTTTGCTACTCATTACTAGAGTAATTGGCAATATATTTTTAATATCCTAGAAGTGATCATTTATACCATACTATTAAAAACTGATTTATGTATTTGCTGGGTATACAGAGTTGTTATTTTTATTATTTAATATACATCTTATGTCACGTATACAATGTTTTTGTATTTTATATTTTATCTATTTTTATTATGTGTCTTATTTTTATTCTTCTCAAAATAATCTTTTAAAAAGATTTACCATAATATTAAAAGAATATTATAAGAATATGTATGGATTGTGATAAGAGCTGTAAGAGCCCCCAGTAAAATGATTTAAAAAAACAACTGTAGACCCCCCACTCCCAAACAAAGAGTACTCATAGATCTGTAGATTTAATATCGATGTTAGCTGATGTAGACTAGAATTACCTGTGGTAAATTGGACAGGGAGGTGTTATTTGACTTAACATTTATCTTCTCTAATTTTTGACAGTGAACTGACTCAAATACACATTGTCTGTGCATGTGCGTGTGCATGAAAATGACAAGTACGCTACAGGGTAAGCCAAAGAATTACAGCTTTCTGAAATCTACATCTAGGCTTAGAATAGGCATACTGTAACTTTTACCTTATTCAATTGGACAAATCAGGGATAAGATAACAGATATGGCCCAGAGTAAAGACAAGGGGTGGTGAGACATATTTTTCCTTCATGGACAAAACTATCTATATATGAATTTGTCTTTATTTAAAATACAGTATATTTTCCAGGTTTTAAAAAAAAGAATATGAACACTGACAGAAGTGAAATAAGCATTCCTTTAAAAATGAAATATATCCTATACAACTTACTTCCTCTAGTCTTAAGCAAGCTTAAAATGGGAGAGAAATAACTTATGGCTCTTTAGCACTTAGATATAAAGTTTCTGTCACCTGATAGCCGCCAACTGAGAAGCGAAAGGACAAAAACAAGTTCCAAATTATGAAAGTTCACAGAAAATCTATTTGGGTCCAACCCGAATCCCAACATAAGATAAACATGTTCCTACCTTGATTTGACAATTTCTTTCTCATATATATCTTCAATGACCTGTCATCAAAAATATAAAAATATTTAAGATTTCAAACAACTTTAGACCCTAAATTTTTTCAACCCTAGTTATTGAGATTACACATAATATTCTGGTTTAAGAAAGCTTTACTACTGTTGATATAATACTAATGGGTTCTTTAAACATTCTCATTACACTACTCAAAATATGAAATAACAGAAGTAGCAAACTATCTATATCTAAACAAAAACAAAGACTAAAAAAAGCCACCATTAATATGGTTTGTCTATAATGACAAGGAAATTTAAAATTCCCAAGATCAGAGTATTTTCAGAAAATGTCAAATCCATAAATGTTATCAGAATATACCTAAAGGTCATTAACAATGTGCTGTCAAAAACTAGACAGAATGTTAAAAATATGAAGACCCAGTAAAGCAAAATACAAATCATTATATCCTGTTATACACAGGTATGTGAGAAAGCTTCAAAATTTCCCGTCATCTACATTAGGGCTGTTAACTGCTGGACCTAGAAGCCTGGTTGAAATCATCCACCTCCAATGCTGCTGGCTAGGACCCTTGGGCAAGTGCGTGAGCTTAGACTCAGTTTCCCAATCCACAAAAGGGATCTAATAATACAAATAGCCCACAGCTGGGTGCTTACACTGTGCCACTAGGGTTCCTTAAAGACATTATTCTCTAAATATCAACCCATAACTAGAACTACAAAAATGATCTAAACTCCTCACCAGCAGATTTAATTCAATCTGACCGTACCATCTGGATTTTATCAAGGAAAAATAACCCAATACACACAAACACAAATATACATAAATAGAAGACAGTAAGATAGAGCAATATTGCAGCTAATTAAGACTAACAATGTAGTCCATGTTGACAAATATACTCTTAATGAATAATAAAATGGGAGTAAATGACCAAACAAATGACATATTCAAGCTCAAATCATGTAAAATTTACAGGTTAAGAATCCATTTCACGGGAGGGAGGGGGAAAAATGAGATGATACCCAGGGTTCAAGTAGAAAGAAAATGTTTAAAAAAAAAATTTTTTTTAAAGAAAGAAAACATTTGGAGAATAATGATGACAACAAATGTACAAATGTGCTTGACACAATGGATGGATAGATGGATGGAGATAAGAGTTGTACGAACCCCCAATAAAATGATTTAAAAAAAGAAAAAAGAATCCATTTCACAACGGTGGCAAAAGTGCCGCAATTCAATTCATACAGCAGCACTGACCTGTCTTCCTTACTTGTTTAATGGCACACTATGCAGCACTTACAGTTAACCCTTGAACAACACAGGCTTGAACTTCCAAGGTCCACTTACATACAGACTCTTTGTTAGTGCCCTGTCGCAGCTATCTCTATTCAGTAAATTGTTCATCACAAGAAAAAGTGACCTTGTGTCGTTCTTGTGCAATTACCATCATCTTATACACTAAATAACACCACAGGTGGGACCCATAGGAAGTGTGTGCCACTAGTGATGCTGGAATAGGAGCCCTAGTAGTATAGTGGCTTACCTGTAGGGCTGCTAACAGCAAGGTCAGCAGTTTGAAATCACTAGCTGCTCTACAAGAGAAAGATGAGGATTTCTAATCCAGTTAAGTCTTGGAAACCCACAGGGGCCATGCTACTCTGTCCTATAAGGTCAGAATCATTCTATGGCAGTGAGGTTTTGGAGTGAGTGATGTTGGAAGGGCTGCTAAGGAGAGAAAAGTCATGACTGACAGGAAGTTATTGAATTGCTTGATATGTACCGAAGTTTGAGGTTAGCAGCTGTGGTTGTCCAACATTTAAAGATAAATTAATCCAGCATTAGGGACCATTTTAAAAACAGAAACAGAAAAGGAAATTCATAAAGCGGTATTTACTACACCAGCAGAGGCAAAAACGTGGCACTCTTTGTAAAATACCTTTCTTATCTCCTATTGAAAGTGCAGTTTTTAAGTGGGTGAAGTAAGCCGTAAATGTAACACACAAAACGGGCCTGCTGTCAGCAAGGCTGCTGGTCAACAGTGGACTTAGTGGTTAAGTGTCTGGTGGAGTCAAAAGTTATACGTAGAGGGCACAAGAGGGCCACATGCCCCTAATCTCTACTTTAAGGGTCAACTGTCTTTCACTTAGACTCCCCTCTTAAGAATTTTCCCTTTCATTTATCTTAAATTGTTTCAACTGAACCATAAATCCACTCCCTGACAGGGTCTTACTGGTCCTTAGTCACCTAAACCCCAACAGGAAAGAACGCCCACTCCTGCTACCCTTATTACAGATGTTTGCTTCCAGTTCAACAGAACTAAAAACACCAGGGAAAACAATAGAATCCACCCTAAATGAACTGCTGAAAACGTATATACGACACTCTCTGTGTATCTGTAAGGATTCACACGTGGTCACTTACAACAGAAATAAATTAAAAATAGTTCAAGACTATAAAAAGTTGATACAAAAAGTATACCTTTTCCAAAAGTATGCTTTTGAAATGAGTGAAACATACTTACTTTTATATCAAAGGGTGATTTGTTCTTGATGTGGGGAGCCCAGTATTTGCAAGCCAACTGCAAAGTAAAAGTAGAAACTATAAGAAACAGATTCAAACCACTGTGGAGCTGAAAGCCTAAGATCACTCAGTGACAAGCATTTCTAATCATGGGCAACTGGTGTGGGAGAACAGAGTGGTTTTTGACCCCAAACCACTGAATGCCAGCGGTACTTTGCAAATCCATTCTCCCACCTCCAACCCATTCTGATAAAAACAAAACCTGTTTTCCAACCACTCCTAGGGAAGTCACAAGGGCTGGTTAATACCAACGAGGCCAAATATCCTTAGCATGACAGGCACTATTTGGGCCAATATGAAAATCCAGCCCCCAAACTTCACGAAGGTTGCTGTATAAAAGAATCAGCCTTTAAGTAATTAGTCCCTAGCCCCATTCCCCCTTCCCCCATAAAAACAAACCCTAAAACTTTAGAGTCTATCAGCTGGTTAACTAGACTAGGTTTTACCTGCAAATTTTGAATGCTACATACATATACACAGTCTCCAGATACTTAGATGAATCGTCTAAGGAACAACATGGCTTTGCCAATTTTTTTTACTGAACAATGTCCTTAAAAATGGAAAACTGACAAGCACAAAGATGCATTAGTATATTTATGAAAAGGTAAATTCTCACTCTACCTGGCACACTTGGTGGCCCTCAACTAATATTTGATGGAGAAGCCAGAAAACTAAACCCATTACCACTGAGTTGCATCAAACTGACCAAAACCACCCAAGACAGAATAGAACTGTCCCCAGGGCTGAAACCTATTGCTGGTAAGATAATTCTGACTCACAGAGATCTTACAAAGCAATGCATCTTTACAGAAACAGACTGCCACATCTTGTTCCTGTGGAGCAGCTACTGCAGTGGTTCTCAACCCTCCTAATGCTGCGATCCTTTCATACAGTTCTTCATGTGGTGGTGACCCCCAACCATCAAATTATTTTTGTTGCTATTTCATCGCTGTAATTTTGTTACTGTTATGAATCGTAATGTAAATATCTGATAAGCAGGATGTATTTTCATTGTTAAAAAAAGAACATAATTAAGCATAATTAAAGCACAGTGATTAATCACAAAATAATATGTAATTATATATTGTAAAATATTTATGTGTTTTCCAATGGTCTTAGGCAACCCCTGAGAAAGGGTAGTTCGCCCCTCCAAAGGGGTCATGATCCACAGGTTGAGAACCACTGAGCTACTAGGCTTAAACCAAGAGCTTAGCCACTATATTGTCAGGGATTTTGGAATGAATGAAATAAAATAACTGTGAGGCTTTCCTCAACCCTACATGGTGTAATCATTTCTCCCTTCTCTTCGTTTCGTACAGAACTCCAATATGGCATGATTTTTCTGAATTAAAATTACCTGATTGCTCACCTATTTCTGTAGCCCTGTGAATTGCAATGCTTAAGAAGTGGGACCAGCGTCTTATCTGCGCCTATGGTTCAGCATCGAACACAACACCCTATTTTTTCACATATAATAGGCCCTTGTAAATAACGAGCATGTGCATATAATGCACATAGCATACACATGACAATAATGTGCAAGGGGGTGATGCAGCAAACTGCATCATGCACACATTGTGTAAAATTATGATAAACATACTCAAATAGGCTCTCAAGCAATAGCCTTTGAGACACTGAGAAAATGCTTCTCAAAACATTATAGGAATTGCTCACTTATTTCCCAAACTATCAATCACTCTCCAACCCAACTTGATCCCCAATATTCTGTGGTGTCCTTCCTAACCCTGCCCCCTCAGAGCACAAAGCCTCAAACATCTTCTCATTTTATCACACCCTTAACAGAAGTGAACCTGATTCAAACTACTTACTGTGCATGTCTACTTGATTAGTGATCTGGCAAAAATGTATTAAGCATCCACTATGTATCTCCTCTTTGGGGTCGTAGCCTCTGTGACTGCTCAAATACCACTTAACTTGTGTCCTCTCAAATAGCACTTCTTCCAGGAATGCACTACTTGCCACCACAGAGATCTCTAGTCTCATGTATAATAAAATGGACATTAGGCCTCCACTCAAGTTCTCCCTCAATGCAAGAACACTTTGTTCTATTAAACTGCCATTCCATGATGCTCACCTTCCCGACACATCACTGAAGACAAAGGTGTGCATAGACAAATGTGGTGAAGAAAGTTGATGGTGCCCAGCTATCAAAAGATATAGTGTCTGGGGTCTTAAAGGCTTGAAGGTAAACAAGCAGCCATCTAGCTCACAAGCAACACAGCCCACATGGACGAAGCACACCAGCTTGTGTGACCACGAGGTGTCGAAGGGATCAGGTATCAGGCATCAAAGAACAAAAAAATCATATCATTGTGAAAGAGGGGGAGTACAGGTTGGGGTCCCAAAGCCCATCTGTAGGCAACTGGACATTCCCTTATAGAAGGGTCAAGGGGAGGAGACGAGCCAGTCACGGTGCAGTGTAGCAACGATGAAACATACAACTTTTCTCTAGTTCTTAAATGCTTCCTCTCTCCCCACTATCATGATCCCAATTCTACCTCCCTCCCCACCATCATGATCCCAATTCAACCTCACAAATCCGGCTAGACCAGAGGGTGTACACTGATACAGATAGGAACCAGAAACACAGGAAATCCAGGACAGATGATCCCTTCAGGACCAGTGGTGAGATTATGAATCGACAATCGGATACCTCCGGGATGCTTCCCGAGGGGGGGAAAAAAAGGCCAGTCTTACTACCCAAACCTCAGGGACTCGCTTTGAACTCACCTGGGTCACAAACTCCGCGTTGATTTGCGACACTGTGGGAGCCACGATTTTCTTGGGCTGCGCAGGGGTCGCCATGGCAGCGCACGCCGTCCGTTCAGCTGAAAACCAAAGAACCGCTCAGGACAGCAGGGAGCCCAGTGCACTGTCCCTAAGCGCCGTCTGCAGTCGCGAAACCAGCGCGGCAGACGCCACTGGCTCGAATTCCCTCAGCTCCCGGAAGCGGAACCGAAGGAGGCCGGAAGTCCTCGCCGGCCTGGTATCTGACAAACGCATCGACCTCCACCGACACTGCCCCCTAATGGGCAGAAGAAAAGAGAAACCAAGGTGGCCCGATTGAGGTCGCCGGAAGGACCCTGGCGGGTGGGTTGCTTCTTGTGAATGAGCAGGTCGAGTTGATGTTCTATTCAACCCTCCAGAGAGCTGCATTTAAAATAGACCAGGCATCTAGGGGTTGGTTTTAATTACTTGTTTTTACAGCTTTTGGAAGTAGAAATCGACATACAATCATTAAATATTTAGTACTTTTTTTCTGAATCAAATTATTTTAATTTATTCTTCTGCTAATCATAAATGATTTCCATCTACAATTGTTTTTCAGGTAAGGCACAGAAGGTCAACTGAAGAAGTAGCCGCGACTTTGAACTATGGAACTAACTTGCACATTTCCGCTGTCAGATAATGGAGAGAGAGAGCCTCGCGGGGGAAGGTGCTCCTCACGGTTGGCCTTTGCAGCGGTGAATGGTAGCTTTGGCTTGCCTTCTCCAACCATGCCTTGCAGCAGCTGCTACACAGTCTCAGTCATTCCCCAAACAGGGATCTTCAATATGAGTTGTTTTTTGGCTCAGAGCTTCCAATCAGCTCAATTTTAGCTCTGTCGTTTTTAACTTGATTATTTTTTTTAGTCAGCTCTCTCAGACCACTTTCGCCCATACGTGGTAAATAATCAAATCTGGCAAAGTCTTCTATGGTAATTTGCCGGGCAGCGTGATTCATGGGGATACCTTGCTTCTTCATGCAGTTTTGCCCTCGATAACCAGGAGACTTTCCTATTTCCTATGTGGGTGTTGCTGCACTCTCTATTCTCCACTTATCTGAAAGGTTTTGATCGGTTATAAGTTTTCTGAAAACTGCTTCTGCGATAGGTGATCCACAAATGTTATCCAGGCAAACAGACCAAACAGACTGGTCTCGGGAGCCTGCGCTGCCATCTTCTCACACACAGAGATGAAAACGCATTTAGTACAAATTGATACCTTTTTACCTACACAGTATTACATGTTTCCCTACTGTCTTTCATTCAACATGATTTTGTGAATCATCCACATTATAGATCATCTTAATTGATTTCTTTTTTATTGATGGGTAGTATTCCATAGTGCATTCTACACCGTATTTTAGCAATCCATTCATCTGTTGAAAGATATTTGGGTTGTGGTAATTACATAATTTTGTGTCAACTTGATAAATAAGTGTAGGGGTGGAGCCTAGTCTGCCAATCAAGTCATAGCATGAGGATGCCTTCTTGTAGGCGTGGGCTTCACCTTCTTGTTGACAAGCCACTTAGATTTAAGCTGATGGCAGCCAGAGCCCCGGAGACCACCATTGGATCTACAAGACCTTGCACCCATCGGCCTTTGATCTTCCTGCATTCTACATCATTGCATGTGGCTGCATGAGTCTGGAGAGGGATTTATGGATTAGTACCAGACTTATAGGCTAATATTGGACTTATGGACATGATCTGAACTGAGCTGGAATATTTCCTCAATATATAATTATTCTTTGATACCAAGCTCTCTCTTGCACATGTATGAGTGTATCTGGATTTGTTTTTCTGGTCAACCTGGCCTAACACAGGGTTGTTTTCTGTTTGGAGCAATTAAAAATAATGCTTCTATGAGCATTTGTGCATTCAACTCCATGTGGACATAACTATGTGAGGGCAAGTCAAAAAGTATTGCTGCTAGGATTCTAGTTCATGTTTTGTTTGAAACAAAAAATTTCTTCCAAACAAAACTAACTGGAATGTATCTTAGTGGTCAGTTGGTACTATAGACAAATTCTCTCCACAATACACATGTGTTAGTCTTGTCTTAATGCCTTTACACATAAGAATACTTTTGTGCCGTGATTTTTTTAGTGTCTTAGAGAAGGTGATTACATTTCTGTTTAAAAATACTTATGACTGGGTCTATGATCCTAATTGAACACTTTTACCTAGTTTCGGTGTTGCCCTTTGTTACCCAGGCTGTGTGTTATAGCCCATTACGCCTTCAGAATCTTTTCTTCTGAGGCACACAACATCCGTCATAGTCCACACTAGAAGGAATGGATGTGGAAATCCCACTAAGTGAACTGAGCATTCACCTATAGCCCTATGACATAAGGCTCTGTGTTGGGCTGAGTAGTTGATAGAGAAACAAATCCAGTGGCACTCATATATGTATAAGAAAGAGATTTATATCACCAAGTAACTATGTATCAAGAAAATCCCCCGGCCCAGTCTACCTAAAGTCTATAATTCCAATCTAGTCCATAAATCCCTTTGTAGGCTCCTGCAGCCACATGCACTGATGCAGATTGTAGGAAGATCACAGGGTGGTGGGTGCAGAATCAGGAGCCAAAGACGGTGGAAACATGGCAGGACTCTGGCATTTCTCCAGGCGGCCACCAGCGTCACAGCAGGGAAGAAGGTGGAGTGGTAGAGGTAGAAGAGGTTCCTAGGGTTCTCCTATTTTTAAAACATTTTAATCATTTTATTGGGAGCTCTTACAGATATTATACCAATCCATAGTTCAATCACATCAAGCAGTATTGTACAATTGGTACCACAATCACTTTCAATACATTTTCTTTCTTCTTGAATTCCTTGATATCAGCCCCCCTTTATCTCCTCCTACCTCCACCCCATCCCCCAGGAACCCTTATTACTTTTTCCCCTATAATAGGTTTTTAAGGGTTTTTTTGTTGTTGTTGTTTTCTTTTATCCATATCTTATAGGATCAAACATATCCATTCACATACCATTCTGTTGTTCAAGTCCATCAAATGGGGTTATCCAATCACCAATTCAATCAGCTCCCTATATCCCCTTCCCTACTCCTTTCTTCCCTACCACCATGGAACCATTACTCCTGTTACTGTTTCTGAAGGGTTATCTATCTTGGCTTTCATTTACCAAGCAATCTTAAATATACAAATGAACATACACAAGTTTCACATGGCTAATGGAGTAAAACAAATAAAAACCATAATAGTAAAGAGAGGAAATATTAAAGAACTAAAGGATAGTTATGTGGCTCATCAGTGCTATCCCGATCCCTGGATTTTTCCTCCCTTCTTTGTGGCCCTTCTGAGAGGAAATGTCCGATTATCTTACAGGTGGGTTTTGGGTCTCCACTACATCCACGCCCCTTCACATAGATTTGGTTGCTTGTTTTTGAGCTTCTGATACCTCTTCCAGTTGACAACCTCATGATCACACAGGCTGGTGTGCTTCTTCCATGTGGGCTTTGTTGCTTCCCTGCTAGATGCCTGCTAGTTTTACTACAAGTCTTTAAGACCCTAGACACTATATCTTTTAATAGCTGAGGACCATCCACTTTCTTCTTCACATTTTCTTTTGCACCCATTTTATCAGGAAGGTATCATACAATGCCACATTATTAGAACAACCCATTCTTGAAATGAGGTAAGATTTAAGTAGAGGCCTAGGGTCCTCCTTATGAGAAGGTCACACCCCAAAGAGGTACCATCAGTCTGTGTGTCTTGATTGACAGCCTGGATACCATCCCCACACTTTTATACGGCTTTAAATTGACATACAATTATCTAACTACCTACGGCTGAAATTCCCTAGTGTGAGAAGAAGCAGATGAGTGTTATACCAGGAATACAGAACTGCTGGTCGTGGGACTTTGATTCCAATCTCTTACCTTGAGTTTGCCTAATCAATAGTGGGCTGGGACTCATGTGCTATTTTAATGACCTCCTTGCTTTATTATGACATGCATAGTCTGGTAGGCATGGTTTTGATGTAGTGAATAAATATTATTAAAAGTTTTGTTTTATCACTAACCCCCATTGTTTGTGTAGTGGCCAGTCACTTAAGAGATTAAACTGTACACGTTAACAATTCACATATTGTGGTTTTTAGCTGGCCTATATTTGTATAATGTCATTTTCTCAACAGTGCTTTAAATTCTATACCATTGGTTAAATTAATGACACTATCAATAGAATTATCTTATGCCCCAAGAAGAAGATGGTTAAATGTTTTCTAACATAAGATGAGAATGATGTCTCTAAAGTGAACCAGAGACATATATAAACCATAGATATATGAATGAATTTTGGGCTAGTATTTAATTCTAATTCCAGCCCAAGAACAGTAGTTCTGATGGCATAGCCCTGCTTGACGCTTGCCCTCAAGAAGAGATCACTGAAGAAATGGGTGATACAGCAAAGTGTGACAGAGAAACTAGATACAAGGAGCCATATAAGTAAGGTATCAACTAAGTCCACATGGAAGAAGCACACCAGACTGTGCGACCCACACACTCATTGCCATCAAATCAAGGCTGACCCACAGTGACCCCATGGGATTCTGGGACTGTAACTATTTATAGGAGTAGAAAGCCCAGTCTTTCTCCAGAGGAGGTGGTTCCAAACTGCTGACTGTGAGGATAGCAGTCCAACTCTTAACCACTACGCCACCAGGGCGCCTCTTAGTGATCCAAAGACTGTAAATAATGAAATTCAAATCCGAAGAAGGGAATGGTGCCCGAGCTCAAATTGTGACTACCTGGTTCACAGAAGGTTATCAATGACAGTGGAAGCCCAACATCCATTTTCAGGGTCCACACATAGGTTAAGCCTCAGGTAAATAACTCCTGATGACAGATGATGGATGCAAATAGCCTTGTTATCAGATGGAAAGCATTGTAAAGTCAACTAAGGCAGACATATTTAGATTAAAATGTAATATCTAAATTTAAAAAATGTAGTATCTTACCACGTGATCTTTTAACCCATTTTACAGTTGTCTCAGTAAAAAGAAAACAGTGAAGGGGAAACACATGGATTAAAGCTCCCTGACCACAGATTAGGGATATGAATAGCCTTGCTATCATGCACAGT